GATGAATGATTAGCCCAGGTTGTCCATTGTAGAGCATGATTTCCATATGGCAGAAGATTAACTCAGGTAAAACTCTCAGTGAGCATTACGTATACACACCTCTCAACAGAGGTAGCATGTCAAAGAGACATGCTAGTCATGCCAGGGATGGGAGAGGAGCACAGGTTAGTACAGTGGTGGAAAAGTACCCAATTGTCATACTTCAGTAAAAGTAAAGATAGCTTAATAGAAAATGACTCAAGTAAAAGTGAAAGTCACCCAGTAAAATACTGCTTGAGTAAAAGTCTAAAAGTATTTGGTTTTAAATATACTTAAGTATCACAAGTAAATGTAATTGCTAAAATATACTTAAGTATCAAAAGTAAAAGCAAAATAATTTCAAATTCCTTATATTAAGCAAACCAGATGGCACATTTATGGCTAGCCAAGGGCAGACTCCAACACTCAGAAATAATTTACAAACAAAGCATTTGTGTTTAGTGAGTCAGATCAGAGGCAGAAGAGATGACCGGGGATGTTCTCTTGATAAGTGTGTGAATATGACAATTTTCCTGTCCTGCTAAGCATAAAAAATGTAACAAGTACTTTTGGGTGTCAGGGAAAATGTATGGAGTAAAAAGTACATAATATTATTTATGAATGTAGTGAAGTAAAGTAAAAATGGTCAAAAATATAAAGAGTAAAGTACAGATACCCAAAAAAACGACTTATGTGGTATTTTAAAGTATTTTTACTTAAGTACTTTACACCACTGGGTTAGTATACAGTTTGCACAACCAGCAGATTCTACAGATGCATAAAACCATAAGAAAAGAGAGTACCCATACAGCCTGTTCTGTTGTAGCAGCATTTTGACCACTGTTGTGATATAACTACTCTAAGGACCTTGATTTATTAAATCAGGTTTGTTATGGTAGGGCTGCAGGAAAATCCTGCATATTCAGTAGATCTCCAGGGAGAGGGTTGGGCACTGCTATCCTGCTATCAGTCAAATGATCAGTGCGCTGAAAGCCTTGTTACAGGGCAGACATCACTGGATTTGCATCACCTGAGGGGGAGAGGGGGAGGATTATTTACAAGGCATATAGTATCCTCCCAATGATTAAGAAATTATTAATTAGCATTTGATTGGCAGGTTATGGAACAGTATGGGACAAGAAGATAGGGATCTACTATTGCAGATGGTTTACAGTAGAGAGAGGGAATAAGAAAGAAAGAGAGAGAGAAAGAAAGAGAGAGAGAGGGCAGTAAAATGGTGACTGACAGGTTTTTGCGTCATCCAGATCGCGCTGATATCATAAACTTTGTGGATGAGGGCAGGAAGGGAATGTCCTGAAGGTGCCCAGGGAGATACTGCCACATAGTTCTATCCGTATCACTCATGACTCACCTATGCTGTTTCATTTAACCCACTCACACACTGAGTCTCTGTTTCAGCCAGTGCCTCATGGTCTGCATTTCAAAAATAGGCACCTTGTGTTGCAATGCTTGAGTTCCACTCCATGCCTCAACACGCCAAACCTGTTCTGCAAGTACCGTCACTCTGTGAATAACAACAAGCAAAGGCACAGAGTATTGTGACATGTTGTAGGTTTAACCACAATTACAATATGACCTCTTTGCCTATAATAACAGAGACATTCTATATTAGTATCATAGGTTAAATCATAGTAATTTAATGTAATGTAAATTGTGTGTGTGTGTTGAATTATTCAACAGTATCTATTACATTACATGACATATATGAGTTGAATATTGAACTTCATGACTGAAACTCCAAATGGCAGATGTTCCAATGAGGGGAAGTAACTGTGTCTGTGGTCAGGTCTGCTTCAGGTTACAGGAATAAACTATACATGTTATAAAATAAATGATTGTCTGACCTTTTCAAGGTGTGTCTGTGTCTAATTTATACTTCCCATTTCTCAACCAGAGTACGACTTCTCAAATAGTACTTTATGTTTAGCGTGACCCCTGTTGGACAGTTTGTGAAACTGCATGTGTTAGTGAAGAGAGATACTGTATGTGCACACTTAGCCCACCCAATATGTACTGAAGGAGTGTAGGCTAGCTAGCCTACTCTTTTAGGGTCAATCTGCAGTTGCTAAATACATTTTTGGACTTATAAATTAATAATATGTACCCATTGATTATTGAAGAAAATAATGTATAAATGCTTCATCATGAGCTTAGTTCAACTGTCGTACCCTACCAGAACCCAAAATATACATAAAAATAATATGCCACTTAGCAGACGCTTTTATCCAAAGCAACTTACAGTCATGCGTGCATACATTTTTTGTGTATGGGTGGTCCCGGGGATCAAACCCACTACCTTGTCGTTACAAGCGCCATGCTCTACCAACTGAGCTACAGAGGACCACACAGTCGTGGTCAAGGGTTTTGAGAATGACACAAATATTAATTTTCACAAAGTCTGCTGCCTCAGTTTTTATGATGACAATTTGCATATACTCCAGAATGTTATGAAGAGTGATCAGATGAATTGCCATGAAAATGAATTTAATCCCTAAAAAACATATCCACTGCATTTCAGCCTTGCCACAAAAGGACCAGCTGACATCATGTCAGTGATTATCTCGTTAACACAGGTGAGAGTGTTGATGAGGACAAGGCTGGAGAACACTCTGTCATGCTGATTGAGTTAGAATAACAGACTGGAAGCTTTAAAAGGAGGGTGGTGCATGAAATCATTATTCTTCCTCTTGTTAACCATGGTTACCTGCAAGGAAACACGTGCCGTCATCATTGCTTTGCACAAAAAGGGCTTCACAGGCAAGGATATTGCTGCTAGTAAGATTGCACCTAAATCAACCATTTATCAGATCATCAAGAACTTCAAGGAGAGAGGTTTAATTGTTGTGAAGAAGGCTTCAGGGCGCCCAAGAAAGTCCAGCAAGCACCAGGACCGTCTCCTAAAGTTGATTCAGCTGCGGGATCGGGGCACCACCAGTGCAGAACTTGCTCAGGAATGGCAGCAGGCAGGTGTGAGTCCATCTGCACGCACAGTGAGTCAAATACTTTTGGAGGATGGCCTGGTTCAAGAAGGGCAGCGAGGAAGCCACTTCTCTCCAGGAAAAACATCAGGGACAGACTGATATTCTGCAAAAGGTACAGGGATTGGACTGCTGAGGACTGAGGTAAAGTCATTTTCTCTGATGAATCCCCTTTCCGATTGTTTGGGGCATCCGGAAAAAAGCTTGTCTGGAGAAGACAAGGTGAGCGCTACCATCAGTCCTGTGTCATGCCAACAGTAAAGCATCCTGAGACCATTCATGTGTGGGGTTGCTTCTCAGACAAGGGAGTGGGCTCACTCACAATTTTGCCTAAGAACACAGTCATGAATAAAGAATGGTACCAACACATCCTCCGAGAGCAACTTCTCCCAACCATCCAAGAACAGTTTGGTGACGAACAATGCCTTTTCCAGCATGATGGAGCACCTTGCCATAAGGCAAAAGTGATAACTAAGTGGCTCGGGGAACAAAACATCGACATTTTGGGTCCATGGCCAGGAAACTCCCCAGACCTTAATCCCATTGAGAATTTGTGGTCAATCCTCAAGAGGCGGGTGGACAAACAAAAACCCACAAATTCTGACAAACGCCAAGCATTGATTATGCAAGAATGGGCTGCCATCAGTCAGGATGTGGCCCAGAAGTTAATTGACAGCATGCCAGGGTGGATTGCAGAGGTCTTGAAAAAGAACGGTCAACACTGCAAATATTGACTCTTCGCATAAACTTAATGTAATTGTCAATAAAAGCCTTTGACACATATGGAATGCTTGTAATTATACTTCAGTATACCATAGTAACATCTGACAAAAATATCTAAAAACACTGAAGCAGCAAACTTTGTGAAGACCAATACTTGTGTCAACTTTTTACCACGACTGTAAGCTTGTTTTATTCCAGTGTATGTAAATACATAAATAAAAGTTAATGTAAACATGGTTAAAACTATCATTTTGATTTCATGGATGGAACTGCAAAGATACACTTAGTCTACTGTACTCTGTTTTTACCAGGGGCGCAACTTTCACTGGGGAAGGGGGGGGCACATGTCCCCCCACATTCTGAAATTGCATTTTTGTCCCCCCCAGTTTTATCATTGGAATGTGATACAAAACAAGGCAACGGTGTGCTTTAGGACCAATGCGGACGCCTCCGAGCGGTTGGGTAGGCTGTTTGGAGTGTTTATGTTTATGGGGGAATAAAAAAATTAAAAACAAAGAAGTTATGTCCCCCCCACTTCTAAAACCAAATTTGCGCCTCTGGTTTTTACACAGTTGCGGCCAACATTAATTTTCAGTCACAACACTTTACTGGCATTCTTCTTCTGTTACACACAGGTGTTCGGAGACGTTAGATTACTCATTAAAACAGGTTGGCTTCTCTCTCTTCTGTAAACAAGCCGTAACATATGGCCTTGTTGGAATCGTGTTAAAAAGATTTATAGTAATTGTATCTTTTGTTTTTAGAAAATAATTTCTCAATGATATGAAAGTTAAATTCAAAGGGTTTCAAAACTGTGTCACGAGCAAGGATTATTAACGTGTAGATAGAGCGTCGGGACTGTTGTACACATCGGCCACGCTGTCGTCAATTAATCGAATGAAAACCAAAGAGTGGGCAGTCTTGGGTGAACGACAGTTGGTGCACACTGAACGAATGACAATTTGAAATGTATGCACATTTACTGCAATATAAGGATTTCATCTCAACATTCATATTTGTTTAATATTTCGAAAATTGTAGACCCTTTCCCAACAGTAGTTTGACAATATGCTTAAAATACAGCCTGCTCTCTCCTCCACCGGCCTTCTGCTCCAATCATCATCAACAGTACAAATATTCTGCAGTTTCCCGTATTATTAATCTATTAGAAAACAAGCACACTCTTTAGGAATAACAAGTATTCTTGGTGCTCTGCCAATGACATGCTTGAAAAGAAAAATAGTTGTGTTTGGTTTTTGTTTAGGCCACAGGCTGAAGATCATGGATCACAAAGAAGGTGTTTTGTGGTGGAAGGGGCAGTGTAGGGGTCTCTGCCAATGAGAGTATTGATAGCGTCTGAAAGAGAGGATGATAAATTAGTATTGGCCCCACGCATCACTCTGGCGGCACACTGGACACAGCTAAAAGACTGCCATTCAGCTCTCTGGTTTGTGTGTCTGTGTGTGCGTGTGTCTGTGTGTTACCCTGCTTGAATTGCTGTGCTGCAAATCCTTCAACTGTGTTAATTTAACAAAACTCAAATTATGAAAATGTCTGTAAAACATTTGTGCTGTCTTATGTTTACATGTCTCTCTTCTAGCAACAGACAGTTATGCTATATCAGGTTATCCATATAGTATGTCATAGGATTTACAAAACAAAAATGTATTCAAAAAGAGTTCAAAACAGAGAAACATAAGAAAATGTCAATAGCAAACAACTTAGCAAAAATATAAAACTCCATTCAGCATGGATTTTAGAGGTATTAGTAAAACACACACATTTCAAATGTAGGGAAGTCTGACCTGAGAATGCCATGGAAACCAATGAAAAACCACAGAGTAATCCAAAACAAATCAATATCACACAAAACCAGAGATCTGACAGAGAGCCACAGAGCGCAGTTAGTATGAAGTCATTACATTTCATAAAGACAAAGAAAGATGGAAGAGGGGAAGAGAGAGAGAGGTGGACAGAGAGAAAGACAGTAGAGATAGAGTAAGGAGGGGAGAGAGATTGGATGAAATACACACAAAAGCGGTCAAGGGAGAGAGGGAGGAGAAAAAAAGCAACACTCAAGCTCCTTTATCTTTCCTCCCCTTTAGACCTTCCTCAACATATTTCTCTTTGGAGGGGGTGGGCACCATGTTAGTCCCCCCCAGCCAGTCCCAGTGGGAGAAGAACGGGGCGAAGTTTGTCCCGGGCATCCGGTGGTGAGCGTCGTGTTTGGGGGGTCCGCCCCACAGGCCGAAGGGCACCAGGCGGTGCAGCGACCAGGGGAAGTCGTAGCCACAGTGGTCCTCAGTGGACACACAGATGGTGAACACCATGAAGCCCCAGGCGGTCAGGCAGTGGCACTGCAGCAGGAGGGGGTCCACAGTGGTCCAGAAGCCCGAGCTGATCAGCTCCCAGGCGGACACGTACTGGGTGACCAGGCTGAATGGCTGAAGGTACTGGTGGTGCATGGCGTGGAAGGTGCGGTACAGCCAGGGGACTCTGTGGTGGAGAAGATGCCAAAGGTAGAACTGGAAGTCAAAGACCACCATGCACCCCAGGATGCCCAGGAGGAAGCTCATTAGAGTGGGTGCGTCACGGGGGAGCGGAATAGGAGGCCTCCACAGCCACTGGCCCACAGCAGCAGGGAAGATATAGACCAGGTGGTTGTAGGCCGTGAGGTACAGGGTGGTCCAGATGTTGTCCCAGGTGACGGGTCTGTCTGGGTGGATCTTGTAGCTGTTGAGGGCGGGCCAGCTGGGGGCCAGGAGGTCTAGCAGGGTGTAGAGGGTCACCAGGAGGAGGTAGGTAGAGACAGAGATGACCACGGGGAACAGAGGGCTCCGCAGCTCAGCCTGGTGGTGCTGCAGGAGGTAGTCCCACGCCGGCTGGAGGACGGACTGCTCCGGGAGCCCCAGACCCAGGTTCAGGGTCAGGTTGGCCACGGTCAGGTGAGACATCCAGGGGAGAGACACACCGCTGAACAAACCTCCTGCACTCATTGTGACTACAACTAAAGTCTCAGATAATTAATTTATATCTGGGTTGGTTGCAACAGAGTCCACAAGAATGGCAAAGATTCTTCCAGCTGTAACGTAATGTTTGTTTTTCTGCAAAAGGAAAATAATCTGGCGCAGTAGTGCCAAATTGGGTTGGCGGTCGATCTTAGCCTCTTATGTACATCGAGGCGCCACCTCCTCCCCCCCCCCCCCCCCACCATTTCTGACCCAGATCTGAGAGAGCTGCCTCCCGCTGACCAGAAGTGACAAAGACAAAGTCAAGTGTGTTTTCTTTACTGGCATTGAGGAGAAACAATACAGTGTGGTTGAAGCCGAACTTTGGTGCTCATGTTTAATGCAGAAACTGGTGAACTGTCAAATTTGATCATTTTGGTTAAATCAATTGATTATTAATTAAAAACAACTTTTTTTAAATATGTTTTCCTCTTTTTATTTTTTTCTTTCTCTCTCCCTCTCTTCCTCTCTCTTTCTCTTATTGACTTGTTGTGAAGGTCAACAGTAATAAATCATAGAAAGCTGTCAAAAGTGACTTTGAGTTCAAAGGCTCTACATTATTCATGTTGAATTACACTTGTGTTTTTGTATGGTTCATTTTGCATCATGCTGGTTAGAATAAGGTCTGATTGTTGGAAGTGAACAGACCCAAGTGGAACGGACCACAGAGATGGTTTCTATGGTGGAGCTCAAGTAATCCCCTTCTAACTCAAAGGAGGCTTTATATTATTATATTATCTAAATTAACTAAATAAGGTAATGAATTCTAATGTAATGTTTTGTGATCATTATGGTACATAATTGCATAATGGAACACGTGTTGACTGCACAGACTCTCTGAGACCACTAGAGGGCAGTCAAGTATCACTGGAAGAAAGACGGCTCAGCTCTGGAACAGAGATAATAATATGCCATTTAGCAGACGCTTCTATCCAAAGCGACTTACAGTCACGCGTGCATACATTTTTGTGTATGGGTGGTCCCGGGGATCGAACCCACTACCTTGACGTTATAAGCGCCGTGCTCTACCAGCTGAGCTACAGAGGACCACAGATGGTTGTTTCTGAAGTTTTACACTTACTTGGAATGTTGATTCTAAAACATTTCGTTTTGTGGACACAAACTCCTTTCTGAGGGCTGCAATGGAAAATCTCCTTAATGTATATTTTTTCATGAAGACCTGAAACTGCATGTGAAGTTCATTCATCTTAGTTTTTATATCTAATATTACAACAAGTTGAGGTGTATAGCATATTGTGGGGAACTCAATTTCAATGTGAACTGATGTTACTGTAAACTGTTGTCTTGCCCTTAGCTGTTCGAAAGACATTTTAGGGACCAAAATCGAACAACAACAAAACTGTATGACATGTAATCTAATTCTCCAATTGACAGAATATCGTCATTTAAATTGTGACGGTGACTCATTCGTCTCTATGCAATGCGAGAGTAATTCAATTATGTTTACAGATATCCTTTAATTATGATATCTTAGAGTATTGATGTATACACTGACTCGGTGGCTGAGTACATCAGGAAGTGCATAGAGGATGTTGTTCCCACTGTGACGATTAGAATTTATCCAAACCAAAATCTGTGGATAGATGGAAGCATTTGCACAAAACTGAAAGCGCGAATGGGATGGCGCCTTCGCCATCGCATTGCACACTGCCCTATCCCATCTGGACAAGAGGAATACCTATGTAAGAATGCTACTCATCGACTACAGCTCAGCCTTCACCTCCAAGCTCATCACTAAGCTCGGAGCCCTGGGTCTGAACCCCGCCTTGTGCAACTGGGTCCTGGACTTCCTGACGGGCCGCCCCCAGGTGGTGAAGGTAGGCAACAACACCTGATCCTCAACGCGGGGGCCCCACAAGGGTGTGTGCTCAGCCCCCTCCTGTACTCCCTGTTCACCCATGACTGCGTGGCCACGCACATCTCCAACTCAATCATCAAGTTTGCAGAAGACACAACAGTGATTATCAACAACGACGAGACAGCAGTGGTCACCAACCGGTGATAAAGACATAAACGTTTGCGCTCCTTTTTTATTTTTGGTGCTGTTGGCGGTAGGTGCACTTGATTCAGAAGCCCTGCGCTCCGGGTAGGCAAAGTGTTCCCATTTTGAACCTACCCGGCAGACCGGGAGATCTGCGGCTAAATCGAGTAGGCCTACTGTGCTGGCCAAGGGAGATCTGTGGCTAAATCAAGTGCGCCTACTGCGCTGGCCAATCGGATAGCTCAAATCACCGTGCCTACAGCTTCCATGACCCCGGCCACAGCAAAGTTTGATACTAGCCTACGTGAGATTTCATAACTTTTAAAACCTTGACTAGAGACTGTCAAAGAATACAGCAAAGAGCTACTGTTTTTATGAGTGAGTTCATGTCTAAGTTTTTATTCAACACTGTCAACACTGTTTTTATTCAACACTATTACAAAACATAAAACGTGCTTCTCCCTACTTCCACTCGCACTGCAGCTGCAATTAATGAGTAGCCAAGTGTATCGATAGCCCTGTGGTTTTTATTATTATTAGCAGCTCGTCGTGTCTATTTTAATATCGAGGAATAGTTCACTTTCTCCGGTCATAGGAACCACATGAATTTGTGCATGAGGCAGATGCGGTGTGACTCGAGTTTCGCCATCAGTTGGAAGACTGTGTCCCCTCTCTCTGGTTAGCCCCAGGAAAGGAAGGAGAGAGCAGGGACTGTGAGAGGCGGACCCTCTGCTGCTCTCTCCCTCCCTCCGCTGAGACTAATGCTGTGTTCAAAACAACTGGAAACTCAGAACTCGGAAATCTCCGACATCCGACTTCAGTGTGTTCAAGACAACTGGGAACTCGGGAAAAAACTAGATCCAAATCAGAATTCTAGGTCGGAAACTTGGGCATCTTTCTAGAGCTCAGACTTTCCGACCTAAATAGCACTGACGTCATGATTTTACCTCATTTTTTTCAGAGTTCCCAGTTGTCTTGAAAGCACCATGACCATCAGATGCAGGTACCGTCAATCCAGTAAAAAAAAAAAAAGCAATAATAATTACATTATTTCAATTTATGTGCCTTGCAAGTGCTACACCAACTGATCTATTTTGTTATCAAAGCTTGAGTTTTGAAATATAATACGCTCTGAGAAGAACAATATTGGCAGGCCAGGCATATAGCCAATATGCTGTGTTAATGTATTAGGTCTACTGCACAAACCTCATTACTACAGAACTGTTTTTATTAGGTTAATGTCAAGAATGGTCCACCACCCAAAGGACATCCAGCCAACTTGACACAACTGTGGGAAGCATTGGAGTCAACATGGGCCAGCATCCCTGTGGAACGAGTTCGACACCTTGTAGAGTCCGTGCCCCGATGAATTGAGGCTGTTCTGAGGGCAAAAGGGGGTGCAACGCAATATTATGAAGATGTTCCTAATGTTTTGTACACTCAGTGTAAATACTGTATTCTTGTCAAGGCTCATCCTACATAACTAATGCTGTACACACCTTTTCTATTCCCATACTGTCTATACTGTCTATACACACCATCATATATACAGTATATATACACTCCAGACTCTGACATTGCTTGTTCTGATATTTCTTGATTCCTTGATTTATATTTTGGGGGATTTGTGTGTATTGTTCAGTATGACTGCACTGTTGGAGCTAGAAAAATAAGCATTTAGCTGAATCTGCGATAACATCTGCAAAATATGTGTATGCGACCAATAACATTTGATTTGATTTATGCGTTTCCCCCTCCCATCCCCTGCAAGGGAACCTTACATGTCTCTCCTGTGTAACGTTCTTACATTTAGCTCGGCCAACTCTGAAGGGAGCGGTTTCATCACACTTTCAAACGGAAAACATTTTTAGCTGTGGAAGAGGAGGGTGGATGAGGGGTTGAAGACAAACTTGCGATCCACCCTCCCTAAGGTGAAATCTGTAGGGGCATGGAGGCAACAAAAAAAACTGCCTCCGTTGACAATGCAGTACCTAAGGTTTGTCCCCCTACCGATGCTATTGACATTAAGAGTTGGGATGGACTAAGGCAATGTCAGAGCTGTTACAGAGGACAAAGAGAGAGATAGAAATAGAGTTTGTGCATGGGTGTGTGTGAGACAGAGAGAGATAGAGAGAGAGAGCGAGAGATAGAGAGAGAGAGAGAGAGAGAGAGAGAGAGAGATAGAGAGAGAGAGATAGAGAGAGAGAGAGAGAGAGAGAGAGAGAGAGAGAGAGAGAGAGAGAGAGAGAGGAGAGAGATGGTACATCCACAGGTGATCCAATATGCCCAAAAAGTGTTTCATTATTATCACTGATGTAAGGTTGTATCTTTATTTGACCAGCAGGTCTATAGGGTATTGACTCTTTCAGCTCTAAATCTACATCTGCTGCTCTCGCACCCTGAAAACAAAACATTCAGAACACAGTGACATAGGAACACTTTAGTGAAATGGTGTGGCGCTACACAATTCCAACTGAAAATCACTTCAAGTTGTTCTCCTATATTCTTCAACAGGAACATTTCCTGTACACTCTCATTCATTGCAGCTGAGGCACATATTGTACATAGATCTATTTTCAGCAGGCATGGTACAGTGTCTCACAGGAGACACCAGGGCCTACATGGGAACATGTTTTGTTTTTCACCGCGGTGCCACCGTTGAGCCTTTGATTAAAAACAAGGCAGGAAGACAGTTGCCATGGCCCTCTCGTATCTGGAATATTTATTGCCACGGTGATGGAGGACGAAGCGTCATGTTGCCATTGATTTCTAGATAAACAAGCCATGCTGCAACCTCTGTCAGATCATACCAGCCCAGGATTGCAGGTAGATACTCCTCTCCTATCCACTCCTATAGAGCTTTTGTTGTCTGCCTATATGTTGTATTATGTCTATCCATATGTTGTTTATTGTCTGTCTATAGAGTAATGTCGAATATTTTCACTTGTATTTCATGCTTTTCAATACTTGTGGCCATAGTTTGGCCAAATAACTATTTTCCCCTTACACTTTTGCTCAGTAGGTCGTGAGAGACATCAACCTCCTATCACCATCATGCCAAGCCGACTTGAAGGTGCTATGGACACGCTTATAACAGTTTTCTACAACTACTCTGGGAACGATGGAGACAAATACAAGCTCAACAAGGGAGAGCTAAAACAACTATTGAACAGTGAACTCACTGACTTCCTCACGGTAAAGAAGCTGTCTAATATCCATAATTGATCATTTTCAATATAGTTTTACATTATTTTGGTATCTCTTCACTTGATCATGTTTAACAGTTGAATGGCCCCTAATGGGTATATTTCTGAGGACCTTACATGAATGGGCTTAGGAACAAATATTTGACCTCTTGTGACACTATTTCACTGTTGTTTTTGTGAAACTGTAAAACACAGTGGCGTGAATAGAAAAAAAACAGACTGTATAAGTTATATTCTTATTATTGTTTTTATTTGGCACCACATAGTAAGAAGTGTCACAAGGTATTGCCCTCTCCTCCTCAATCAGTGACATGTTTTTGAATAGATGTTGCACATTAGCTGTGTGCTGAACCTCAAATAACATGTTGTCTGTAATTAGAAACATCCTTGTGACAGTTAAAGTGGTGGAGGCCACACATTTAGATGAAATAATAACAGCACATCACATCCGGCTGTCGTTATGTGAACAACATGTTAATGATTGGAAATGCTTTGGTTTAGTGGAGCGTGACCTTTTCAACTTGTTTTCGTTCCTTCCATTGATTTCATGGTGATCAGCAGGGATGATTATGCTCTACTCATGGATATGTTGGGGTGCTTCTTAATGCTACTTGATTACCCATTGAGACTTGAAAGATGAATAAGACAACTAAGTGTGTATTGAATTTGCAAATGTCCAGCATTTAAAAACACACCGACTCAACTCAGTATTGTACAAATTCATGTCGTCTGTTATGTTAATTTTGTTCCAATTATAGACCTACAACACACAATTCACATGATTCTCAAAGACGTGAAGCGTGGCAATTTAGTTTTTCTGTTCTTCAATATACCTCAGTGGCTACAGATATAGGATCTTAATTTGATCACTCTTTTGTTGCTGAGAATGTTCCTGCACAGCAGGAAATGCAAACTTGTAGTGTGTTCAAGGTTTAAAAAGGCTTCTAAAGTTTGTCATTTCCATTTTAAAATGTCAGACTTGAGTTGCCCTAATGAAAAATTTATCAACCCCTACAAAATATATCCATGAATTATAATCCACATGATAATTCACATTTCCTGATGCTGCTGGAATATTTTCCTGCTGTAACAAACTGGTTCAAATTAAGATCCTAGTCCTACATCTACAGGAAGCATACAATTAGAACATTGTTGATTAAGAGAATGGTAGAGTTATCCAAAAAGGAAAGCAAGAAGGAAACACTATTGTAAAGGGCAACTACATTATGTTGGATTAGTTTCCGTGCTGTGAAGTTTTGATTTCTGGTTTAGTTGAGTATAACTTCAGAGGAAGGCCCTAAAAATTGCCAAAGACTCCAGCCACCTTAGTCATTGACTGTTCTCTCTGCTACCACACGGCAAGCAGTACCAGAGCGTCAAGTCTAGGTCCAAAAGGCTTCTTAACAGCTTCCACCCCAAAGCCATAAGACTGCTGAACAGCTTATCAAATGGCTACCCGGAATATTTGCATTGATCATCACTCAATCAAACAGACTCCAACCTCTCCACAATGGCCAAGACCAGAGAGCTGTGTAAGGACATCAGGGATAAAATTGTAGACCTGCACAAGGCTGGGATGGGCTACAGGACAATAGGCAAGCAGCTTGGTGAGAAGGCAACAACTGTTGGCGAATTATTAGAAAATTGAAGAAGTTCAAGATGACGGTCAATCATCCTCGGTCTGGGGCTCCATGCAAGATCTCACCTCGTGGGGAATCAATGATCATGAGGAAGGTGAGGGATCAGCCCAGAACTACACGGCAGGACCTGGTCAATGACCTGAAGAGAGCTGGGACCGCAGTCTCAAAGAAAACCATCAGTAACACACTACGCCGTCATGGATTAAAATCCTGCAGCGCACGCAAGGTCCCCCTGCTCAAGCCAGCGCATGTCCAGGCCCGTCTGAAGTTTGCCAATGACCATCTGGATGATCCAGAGGAGGAATGGGAGAAGGTCATGTGGTCTGATGAGACAAAAATTTGATTTGATTTGATTTTGTTACTTTGTGAAAGCAGGCTAGATAGCAGATCCTCTCCACTGCCCTCTGTCAGTGAGGGGTTGAAGAGACAAATCTCTCCTCCTTCATTTTTTTTCTCTCTCCCCCTCTATTCCCTCACGTTTTCTCTCTACCTCTCCTCCCTCACTCTGATGGAAGGAAGCCTCAGGTAACTACGCATCATCAGCATTGGCCCACATCACCTCCAAATCTAGACTTAGACTACTCCCTTCTGATGTCACTAGTCTCCACCCACCGACATACCTCTGACAAGTATAGAGACGGTGTCCTGGTCCCAGTCTTGTACACATTCAGGACGCGTCACAAATGGCGTCCTATTCCCTACAAACTACTTGTCAAAAGTAGTGCACTATGTAGTGAATATGTTGCTATTTTGGGATGCAGACTCATACTGTACTGTAGCTTCATATCCTAGGGTAAACTTTGAGCTAATTAGTGCTAAAAAATTAATAACAATCGTAAGCTATCACTGAGAAATTCTGTAATTGATCAATCACACTATATGCTGAGGCGATAGATACTGCTTACTGTTGAATTAGATCTAACGTTGTTACCTTGGGCCAAATAGTAACTTTTCACGTAAATGTCAATGAAGATTTGCATATATCCAATCAAACTATCAAATCAGGATATGGCCCCCTTGAGCTGAGTGTGTGTGTGTGTGTTACATACCTCCATTAGCTACATATCACCACAGCCTGAAGTCACCACAGGGCTCTGTATCCCAAACTGGCTTGGCTTGACTGAAAGAAGCCATCCAACGGTCACCATCTCACACACACAGGCACACACACACACACACACACACACAGTGTATACACACACACACACACACACACACACACACACACACACCTCTGATGGTTCTCAGCTCATGTGTCATTGATTACTACCACCGTCACTCTAGCTTCCAGTGGACATTGGCTGTGTGGTGAGGTGCTGTGCTGTGCCCAGTCAGTGCCTTAGGTGGTCTAATATGCTGGATGGAGCTCCAGCACCATGAATCCAATGACTCAGAGCCTGAGGCATCTCTTCTCAGATCACCATCTCAGATCTCTGGCTGGTAGATTGACACAGGGCCTAATTGCAGTCTGCTGCCGGGGGAAACTTATTTATTGGCCAGGCAGCTGAATCCAGACCGGTCAATAGGCGACATGAGACCTATCAAGATTCAGGACGGTCCATTTCCTGGTAGTGTTGTGTAGAGTAGTAGAGTGAGTCAGAGGCCTGTAAGTGTCCCTACGTGACCTGGAATACGCCCAGGGGAACAGAGCACTAGAGCTCCAGTCTGGAAGATTTGCAGCTGTTCAACAGTTGTTTCAATTATGAGATATGCCTATATCTTTGTAAACATTTTATAGACTCAAAGCGATGTTGATCTCATGGACTGTCAGTCCTTGCATCCATAGCTGTGCCAATGAAGTTGAGAGTGGTTACATTCTGCCAGCCCCATCCCTTAAATGATCAAATTTACTTAATCAGGTTTTGAAATTAGTGATTGGTGGATAGATCTTTGATTGATTGATTCATTGTTCTTTCTTTTCATTTCCAGTCTCAGAAAGACCCCATGATGGTGGAGAAGATCATGAATGACCTGGACTCCAACAAAGACAACGAGGTGGACTTCAATGAGTTTGTGGTTCTGGTGGCGGCCCTGACCGTAGCCTGCAATGACTTCTTCCAGGAGCAGCAGAAGAAGAAAGCCAACTAAGGGTTGAGTCCGAAATGGCTTCCTATTGCTATGACCGGTCTATAAAGGGTTCTGTCTAAAAGTAGTGCATTGCATATGGAATAGGGAGGCATTTCAGATCGGCCCGTGGATAGTAATAGAATTAGAAACCAACCACACCCATCATGCTGAACACTGATTTACATTATGGTTTCAGTGCTACTAAAACCACTACACTAAATATGTTGTTGTTTTTTGCATCAGGAATGTTAACAGCAGAAGTACACTAGACTAAAGTAGAAATCTCCATTAACATACTCTTGCTAGATATAGGATACTTCTGTGCCTCTGACGCGTCAAAACAGATTATTCCAAACAGATGTTAACGTGTTGTCACACTAGCCTAAGTGCCAGACTGTTTCTGTTCTCAACAACACTTCTTGCCAGAGAAGATAACCATAAAAGATCTGGCTAGACCAAAACAAACAATCATTTTCCTCTGATGTCAGAATAACTGCCTGCTTGGTTAGTTGATTGATTGATTCTGTCATTCATCCAACGGTTGGTTCATAGATTTTTGTAATGTATTGTAACTATGAATTTGTCACATCATGCAAAGAGGGAGTGAGGGGGGATGATGTCCTGTAAATCAGAAATGTACTTGAGAATGTTCCTGTCATTGTAGAATGAACTATGTGTCACGTAATGAGACATTTAAATCAAATGTTACAGTTGCATGAGCGTGTTTCTTATTCATTATGAAATTATTAATTTGCCATCACATGTAAATGATTATGACAGCATGATATTGTCAAGCAAAATTATTAGCTTGACAAATGTGTTTATTCATTGTGACAGTAACACAGCATGATAAAGTTCTGATACTCAATACCTTGAGTGTGTGTGTGTTTTAGAGTTTATGTTAGTGTGTGCACTGTAAAAAAAAATAAAAAAAAATAAAAATAACCAATTGCTTAATCAGTGTTATTCTGTGAGTTGAATGGACTTGAAAAGGACAATAATTTGAGCTAATGTGTTACATTTTGCTACTCAACATACTCTGCACGAGGTGAGACGAATTTGAATAAGCTTGTTGAGTAAAATTTCAAATTCATGTTTGCTCAAAATCACTCAAAACACGCCCATCATTATCATATTTTTCAGCATGCTCTATTGCAGGTTGATTTTCAGAATTGTTTGTTGCAATACCTGTGTTTATGCATATACATTGATTGGTTGATTAATCTTATGCTACACAAACATGAATAACATATATGTTTTTAAACTAATCTGTTAGTAGTTGGACTTATTGCACCCGTTATTGAGATGGCTGTTCCAGTTTAGATGATTTAGGTAGGCTCAATAATCAATCTTCCCAGTTATTCTCAATGTAGGTTGTGTGTCATTAAACGTTCCAATTGTTGGATATCCTCATTCTGGCTGGATTCCAATAGGAATGACATGTCACTTTGCAAGCCAGCATAATGTGATTTGCAGGCTTGATGTGGCCTGTAACCCAGGAGTTTCAGACAACTGTGTTAGGGTGTATTTGTAATGTATTGTTTAAAGAGTTGAATTTTGAAGATAAAATATTCACTTAGACACTTACTTGGTGAAGACTACAGTACTGAAAGCCATTGAATACAACAACCATGTCTTTGTCACTAACAAATACTGGTAACTACACTTCACATGAAAGGCACACTGGGAAATATGCAAATAAGGTAGAATACATTCTAAAATGTTATGTTCACTCAACCTCAAATTCAAAGTTGAGTGAACATACAATTCAACTTTAGAATGTATGTTGGTTCAGCCAGTGGTGGAAAAGCACCCAATTGTCATATTTGAGTAAAAGTAAATATACCTTAATCGAAAATGACTCAAGTAAAAGTGAAAGTCACCCAGTAAAATACTACTTGAGTAAAAGTCTAAAAGTATTTTGTTTTAAATATACTTAAGTATCAAAAGTACATGTAATTGCTAAAATATACTTAAGTATCAAAAGTAAAAGCAAACCAGACGGCATAATTATAATTTTTTTCTTTTTATTTACGGATAGCCAGGGGCATGCTCCAACACTCAGACATCATTAGCAAACAAAGCATGTGTTTAGTGAGTCCGCCAGATCAGAGGCAGTAGGGATGACCAGGGACGTTCTCTTGATGAGTGTGTGAATTAGACTATTTTCCTGTCCTGCTAAGCATTCAAAATGTAACAAGTACTTTTGGGTGTCAAGGAAAATGTATGGAGTAAAAAGTACATCATTTTCTTTAGGAATGTATTGAAGTAAAAGTAAAAGTAGTCAAAAATATTAATAGTAAAGTAAAGTACAGATACCCAAAAAAACTACTAAAGTAGTGTTTTTATTTAAGTACCACTGGGTTCAGCTATATTCCCTAATGTTGAGCAAACTCACAATCCTGTTGCAGTTAGTTACCTTACAATTGCACGTTGAATCAACATATATTTTTTACAGTGTGTGTGTGTGTATGTGCCTGTCCTGTGTGTCCGTCCCCATCACTTCTCTTGGAGTGTTCAGAACATTTCTCAAGGAGAGGTTGTGCTGTGCTTTTGGGAGGTCTCTGTATAACGCGCCTGGTGATGCGTTCGATGATGCATGATGATGACGATTCAATCCCCGTTAACCACCTGGCCCCTCCACCACCTGTCAATCAAAGTGACACATGACATCCCTCCTTCAGCAGCAGTCAGTGGCGGTTTCTCCTTGCGATTCATAAAGTATGCCCATGCTACAAATTGCAGAAGAATAAAACGTTTTATTTACAAATGTGATTTTAACCCCTAACCTAACCCTTATGGAGAAAAAAAACATGATTTCACATGTGGAAAAATCACATGATTTCACATGTGAAATGTTCACACATTTAGCTAATTTTTTCTAACACTTCACGGGGAGTTTTACAAGTGATCACATAACCTTTCCAATGTGAAATCATGTGAAACCATGTGGTTTTGGAACACTTCACATGTGATGATATTTCACATGAAGTTTCACATGTGCATTCACATTTTCACATGATGCCCCACAAACAAAAATTAGTCATTAGGATGTCTCAGAAAACCTTCAAATTGCTGAAATAAGTAAATATAATCAATGATGAGAGAATAGTCAGATTAACTGATAACTAAAATGGCACTGGTTATGAGTTCAAAACCCAGGTGGGGTCATATTCAAAAGTCTGTACTAAATGAACCTGTCAAATGTAATCATATTGTCATTGATTAAATATTTGTACAAAACAAATTCTGAACAGCGTACCACATACCATTTCATTACTTCCCTTACAAAAACACACGTGAAATTTGCAGTTTCACATGTGAAAATCTCATTTTCACATGTGAAATAACAGTTTTCACATGTTGAACTGACATTTTCACATGTGAAAACAAGAGCCACATGTGAGGTCAGTTGTTCACATGTGAAACCATATGTTCACATGAATTCAATATAGAGTTCACATGTTAACACCACCTTTTCACATGTGAGGAGAATAACATGTTTTTACCTTGCATGTGAATTGCAGAATTGCAGACACACGTGAAAATCTAACTCTCACATGTGGAATTGCATTTTCACGAGTGAAAAACTAATTTGCACTTTCACATGAAAAACGTTCAAATATTGTCACGTGTAGTTTTGCATCCCCATATCACGTTTATTTCACATGAGATCATATTTTCACATGTGTAGTTTCATAGTATCACGTTGGTTTTACACAGGGGCACAACTTTCACTGGGGACAGAGGGGACATGTCCCCCCCACATTCTGAAATTGCATTTTTATCATTGGAATGTGATACAAAAGCGGGCAACTGTGTGCTTTAGGACTATGCGGATGCCTCAGAGCGGTCGGGTAGGCTGTTTGGAGTGCTTATCCAACAAAAAAAATATATATATAATAATAATAATTATGTCCCCCCCCAGTTCTAAAACCAAAGTTGCGCCCTTGGTTTTACATGTCACATGTTATCACATTAACTTCACATAAGATCACATGTGATCACATGATATCAAATGTGATCATGTGAAATTGATGTGTTTTTTCTGTAAGGGAAACCTTAACTTTTACACTAACCTTGTCTGAAACCATAACATTTCGAAGTAGTAGTCTTCCTTTCCTTTTTGCAAACCCACATCCACCTCTCTCTACTCCAACACATAGAGGATTGACGCCGGAGGGGATGGCTGCCATTTTATGGACACTTAACCAACCGTGCTATTTTGTGTGTTTTTTCGCATTGTTTGTAACTTATTTTGTACATAATGTTGCTGCTACCGTCTCTTATGACCGAAAATAGCTTCTGGACATCAGAACAGCGATTACTCACCTTGAACTGGACGAATAATTTTTATTTAATGAGTCGGACGAGAGGGATTTACTCCAGACACCCGACAGGGCCCTCATCCCCGTCATTCGCAGTAGAAAGAAAATGAGAAATCGCGGAAGGAGATCGGGGTGCTTGGTAAGGAGCTGGCGACGAGTGGCTAATCTACCTTTGCCATCGATACTATTGGCCAATTTACAATCGCTTAATAATAAAGTGGACGAACTACTGGCATGAATATCCTACCAACGGGACATAAAAAATTATAATTTCTTATGTTTCACCGAGTCGTGGCTGAACGAAGACATGAATAACATACAGCTGGCGGGTTATACACTGTATCGGCAGGATAGAACAGCAGCCTCTGGTAAGACAAGGGGTGGCGGTCTATGTATATTTGTAAACAACAGCTGGTGCACGATATCTAAGGAAGTCTCAAGGTTTTGCTCACCTGAGGTAGAGTACCTCATGATAAGCTGTAGACCACACTATCTACCAAGAGAGTTTTCATCTATATTCTTCATAGCTGTCTATTTACCACCACAAACCGATGCTGGCACTAAGACTGCACTCAATGAACTGTATACGGTCATAAGCAAACAGGAAAACGCTCATCCAGAGGTGGCGCTCCTAGTGGCCGCGGACTTTAATGCAGGGAAACTTAAATCAGTTTTACCTAATTTCTACCAGCATGTTAAATGTGCAACCAGAGGGGAAAAAACTCTAGACCACTTTTACTCCACACACAGAGACGCATACAAAGCTCTCCCTCGCCCTCAATTTGGCAAATCTGACCATAATTATATCCTCCTGATTCCTGCTTACAAGCAAAAACTAAAGCAGGAAGCACCAGTGACTCGGTCAATAAAAAAGTGGTCAGATGAAGCAGATGCTAAGCTACAGGACTGTTTTGCTAGCACAGACTGGAATATGTGCCGGGATTCTTCCGATGGTATTGAGGAGTACACCACATCAGTCACTGGCTTCATCAATAAGTGCATCGATGAAGTCGTCCCCACAGTGACTGTACGTACATACCCCAACCAGAAGCCATGGATTACAGGCAACATCCGCACTGAGCTAAAGGGTAGAGCTGCCGCTTTCAAGGAGCGGGACTCTAACCCGGAAGCTTATAAGAAATCCTGCTACGTCCTCTGACGAACCATCAAACAGGCAAAGCGTCAATACAGGACTAAGATCGAATCATACTACACCGGCTCCGACGCTCGTCGGATGTGGCAGGGCTTGCAAACTATTACAGACTACAAAGGGAAGCACAGCCGCGAGCTGCCCAGTGACACGAGCCTACCAGACAAGCTAAATTACTTCTATGCTCGCTTCGAGGCAAATAACACTGAAACATGCATGAGAGTATCAGCTGTTCCGGACGACTGTGTGACCACGCTCTCCATAGCCGATGTGAGTAAGACCTTTAAACAGGTCAACATTCACAAGGCCGCAGGGCCAGACGGATTACCAGGACGTGTACTCCGAGCATGCGCTGACCAACTGGCAAGTGTCTTCACTGACATTTTCAACCTCTCCCTGTCTGAGTCTGTAATACCAACATGTTTCAAGCAGAC